ACAGTTGATAGGATTAATCAATTAAAGGCTATGCCAAAAATATAACACAGCAAAAGAAAAAAAATAAAAAACCTGAGTGTGGGCAAAGCAGAGAAAAGTCGAATTTGTGCCAAGTCAACGGCAGCTTAGTGCACGTCAATCAATTGGCGTTGCCAGCCTGTTGAACAGCCGCCTCCGTCTGCTACAGGACACACACACACACACACATCCAAAATGTAACTGAGTTAGCGGGCGACTGTTAACGTTGCGTGACAAATCAATCGGATTAGGTTTAGGGCAGGCACAAATCGATATGGTCTTGTCTCAATCACCTGAACGCAACTGTACATATTCACGCCATTTTTTTGGTATTCCACCAGGCACCCGCTACACAAACACACACACACGCCTACACACATACACTATAGCAAAGCAAAGCAAGCATATATACGTATATATATACATATCTGTGGCATTTCGCAACACTGTCGAGGCGTGACGTTGCTTAGTTAGCTTCCGTTTGCGCTGTTGGCTGAAAGATTTGCTGGCCAAGAACAAACACGTTAAATGCCTGCAGCGGGCTAGTTTGCGAAACAGCTAACAGTTAACGGTCAAGCAACCGAGCGGCAATTACACTTAATTACACAAATAAACACTTGAACTTGATTACATATTTACACTTTAATTATCGACTAATCGCAACGTTTATGCGCAAATAGACAAACGATTAAGGCTTATTACTGAATAAAGAAAATCTTTAATTATATGGAAATTTCCCTTTTAGCCAATTTAGTTTTAGTTTCGCTCTTCAGTTATATATGGATTTTCCTATTGGCCTTCAGACTGGGCTTCTCCTTCATTTTTGGTTCGCTAAGCAATCGGTTAATGGACATACTAAGTTTAGACCCGTTTTTAAGCCAATTTCTATTTTCTGTTGCCATCCAATAAACACATTTCGTTGACCCTGAAATATAAACAGACCTATATACATATATATACATAAATGCCATGTTAACTTACAATACACTTTCGACTATCGAATGCGATTGTTAATGTTAATTTAGTTGCGGCGAGGGACGCATCATGTCGCCCGATTCAAAGGGCTGCATGGATCGCAACGAATGCCTCGATATGCCCTGTATGAACGGTGCCACGTGCATCAATCTTGAGCCGCGTCTGCGCTATCGCTGCATCTGCCCCGATGGCTTCTGGGGCGAGAGCTGTGAGCTGGTTCAGGAGGGTCAGACCCTCAAGCTGAGCATGGGCGCCCTGGCGGCCATACTCGTTTGCCTGCTGATCATACTGAGTGAGCCAATTGAACCCTTACATAATCTATATAAATATCTAGCTACAAATGCAACAACAACAACAAGTCCATATATATATTACTATATACCATATCTATATGCATACATATAAATAGAGTTAGCAATTAGTGCTTTAGCGCCTGCCTTTAGTTTAGTTACCTTCTTTTCTAATTATTAGCCGTGCAAATTCATTCATGCATATCAAATATCAAGTATCATATATCATATATCATATATCATATATCGTACATCATATATCTTCTAGCATATACATACATATAATCATATACTGGCTTATCATTTGCCCCGCCCACTTGAAAACTCATTTGGTTCACATACATCATATCAATACCATGCCCCACATACACATGTCAAATGCACAAAATCCAATCATTCCGCTACACATGCATCAATTCATTCATAAAACAGAACCCAGAAATAACAAAAGAGAAAAAAAATACGGTTCACTGAATATTAAATTTACTTTATTTGATCACAAAAAAGTAAATTCAACTCGGATATTTATCCGAGCCGAGCCGTGTGACTTTTGTATTTACTTGTGCCACCAAAAACCAAATATCTACGTCCATCTATAGCAAAAAGTAATATATATACATACATATACCATAGATGTGTATGTGTATATATATTTTTAGTTTTGTCATTTCACATTCATCTGCATTCCATCAACATCAATCGCTGTTAACGTCCAACACTTTGTTTATGGCACAAATTTTTGTTAACTGTTTCCACACAAATGTTCAATTCATCGTTGTTTTTCTGTCTCACTGTTTGTTCGTAATCTGTGTGTATATACATATACATTCATATATATAAATATATAGTTCTCATAGCAAATTGTACTTTAATGAATCTCAAGAAAATTGCCCACTAAAAAGGTATGTACTCACATAAATGTAGTTGCGTTTTTAATCTGAATTTAAAAAAAAAAAAATCGAATTCTATATTTTTTGAAATTTAATAAGTTTTCTTACAAATTGAGTTCTTTCACAAATTTAAATATATTCCAAGCTTTTAAGATTTATAATCATGGCAACATATATAATATATACATAACAAATGATTTTAATTTAGAAAATAAAGGTATTTCCCGTTCCCAAGAGACATGAACATAATATATGGTAACTCAATGGAGTCTTTAACTAAATTTGGTAGACACAATCTATCAATAATATATATATGACCAGAGAGTGTCACCAAACAGACAGCAAGAGCAAAATTTCGCTAAAGGAAGATTTCATTTTTACTACCATAGCATTTAAATAAATTCAAGCTAGTAAATCTAAAATTTTTTTTTTTTTTTAAATACAATAATCTATATTTCCTAAATGTGAACTATTATGAGATATTAACCAAAGCAGCTGCATAGCTAACAACTAAACATATTGATGAGCCACAAAACAATATATATATTTGACATTGAATTACCGAGCTCAGAAAAGCGTTAAACATCGAAATCCCAACTAAATTGGCAACAATAACAATACATCAAGAGAATGACAATTGAATTGAACAGAATCCTTATGAAATATACCATAAATAACGCAGCTTAAATATTTTTGTAAGAGTTCTTGAAAAAATAATTAAGATAGGGCTTTAAGTGCACTTAGCGAACAGAAAGAGACTTGGCAATTTATCCACACATATCACGTACTTTAGCTGTCACACACACACACACAGACACAACCTCACGCTGGCTCACCTTGCGTATACTTTGTAAACTGCACTCAAAGAAACCAAGCACAGTGTGTCTTGAAGAGCTTAAATGCCTTCAGGTAAGATAATAAATGTGCAGTCAGAGATACACACATACACACACACACACACACACCAACACACACACAGAAAGCAGGCGCAGACAAGTGAAAGAGCAATGGCTGATTTTAGCTTTGGCATTTGAAAAAATCACGATGCACTAAATCCACTTGAGCAAACCGACGAATATGTAGTACAACAGTCAGCCGGGAGTCAAGAGCGCTTACTTCTGACTTCAGCCTCAGCTGCGTCTGCTGCTCAGCTCAGCTTCCAGATCTCAGTACTGCGGCTCGAACCGACAGCCAGTTTCATTTGGCAAGTCGCGCAAGGATTTGCGGACATTTCACATATGTATTTATATACATACATACATATATACATACTGTATATTTCTTCTTTTTCTTCCAATTTTTTCGGCTGCTGCCTGTAAGATTGTTTTCTTTTTTCTTTTTAAATACAACTTAAGAGCATTTTCCGCTGCGTAGCCAAGTGTACGCTTGAACACACATATAAATACACACACACACACTCACACATACCCACACACCACTCACGCATACAGTTCAAGTTTAGAGCAAACATTTCGTAGGTAAATAATGTTCAAAGAAGTGGAATACGAGGTTAAAACAACTAAAACTGTTTGAATGGGCATTTTACACAGACAGATGCCCTGTAAAAATGTGAGAAGGGTATTATTAATCGGCTATAAAATGCTAAATTATTTTAGAGATATTTGTCATATAAAATATTTAGTATGCAAATAATATTTTTATTTTTTTTTTATTTAATTTATTCACTTATGTAACAGATACCCTGAGAGCAGATTAGTGGATTATGATAATAATCGAACAGGATATATTTGATTTTATTATAAATAGGTGTAAATAGGTGTTTAAAATTTTATATATTTTTTTTGACGAACTAAAAATGTAATTTTATTATTTTAAAACTTTGGAAAAAATGTACAAAATATAAATAAAATTTAAGAATGCCAATTTTTCGCTATTACACCGTTTTTCAAGCATCTGCCTTATCTACAGGGTAACAAAAGCAATTGTTTCATGCCAACTCTAAGTAAAACTTAATGGCGTAAAATATGGCAAAGTTTAGCCCAAGAACTGGACAAGCCCAAAAACTTTATATATACATATATAGATGTGTGTATGTATGTTCGCCTTTATGTATATACTCTATATCAACATGCCCAGTTTTTGATCAGCTTCAACTACGCACTTGGGAGCAATCACTAAAAGGCGCAGCGCAAAAAACTATGCAACACTTTTTTTTTTGCTTTTGCTGCTGTCGCTGATTTAGTGTGAAAGTTTTAGCTTTGGCTTCTGCTTGGCTTCTTCCACTTCCGCTGCCGACGCCCGCTGTGCGTCGCTTTTGTGCGATTTGTTGGCTCGTTGGTCAAGAAGCTCTGGCATTTGCCAATAATCGTCAATATATCAAAAGTGTCTTATGTCTGCATTTGAAAAGTATTCAGCCGCAAAGTCTGTGGACTTTCGCGCTGCCTCTTTTTCTTTCCATTTTGTTATCAGTTTTGATTCATGCATGGGACAGAATCTTGGAGGCAAACATTGGCATTGTCTTTGCATTTCGCGCACAGCTGAAAATAGAAGCAGCTAAGTGGAAAATGAAATGAAAATCAAAAGCTAAAGTTTTTAGCAAACAGAAAAAAGAATAAAATAAAGAGAAAAGTGTTTTAGGATCTCCTCAATAATAATCGCTTTGAAAACTTTGCGTTAATAGCTTTTCAACACTCTCGCAAAATTCGACAGCAAAGTGAATGTCAAACTGTGTCTAGGTTACAGTTGAGGGTGAAATCCAAGAGCCAAGCCAGCAGCTGTCAATTGTAGGTTGGGGATAAACTAATCAAAACAAAACTTAAGCAAGTGCCGAATGCATTCCAAGTGTCAAAGGCAAACTTTATTCAATTCTATCAACAACAAGTGCATAATAATAATAATCATAAAACAAGAAACAGACAAATAAAAACACACGCAAGTGTGAGACAAAAGTGCACTTAGGAAATCTCTCAGCACACACGCAAATGCATAAAGTTTGCAACAGAAAAAAAGAAAAAAAAAACTGAAAATTGTGAATGGAAATGCGGCAAAGCGCAAAATAATAACAGCAAACGGAACAAAAACCAACAAGAAACGAACATTCTTTAAGACTTTTTGACACTTTGTGTGCTCAACGAAAGATTTACATTTTCATAACTGCGACTAAAAAGTGTTGGATAAGTTTTACGATATAGAAAACAAAGAGTAACAAAAAAAATAAAAAAAATATCATGTCTGTGGGTAACTTTACAACACTAGAGCACAACTATCACACATTGCCTTGCATGATGTGCAACAAATTTTAAATAATCTCTTTTTTTATTTTGTTTTCAAACACTGTTTGTTTTCCATATATATCTATATATGTAAATGTAAACACACTCAACTCTACACCCAACTTGAACGTTACGTTACGTTTGCGTTACAATCGCGTTACGTTACATTATATATTGCGGTCATGTCGTTGTCACGTTTAGCTGCCCTGCGGGCTATAAAGTCTCTGGCAGCAGTTGCGTCAACGAAAACGAATGCCTCCTGTACCCCTGCCGCAACGGGGGCCGCTGTCGCGATCATCAGCCGCCCAAGAAGTATGAATGCCATTGTCCTCTGGGCTTCACCGGCATGCACTGCGAACTGGAATTATTGGCCTCGGGGGTGTTGACACCGTCCCGTGATTTTATTATTGCCCTGGTGCTCTGTCTCAGCACGCTGCTACGTAAGTACAAATATATATCCATCCCCCTCTCCCCCACCCTCTCTATATATGTATATGAATGCCATGGCTAAGCCGTGCAATATGCCGGGGCTTAAGGTTAAGTAGCTTTAAGCAAATATGCTTAGTATTTGAGTGAGTACGTTGGCAACGGAATATGCATGGCCAAAATATCATCATTTGTACTAAATTAAATATATGTATATTAAATTACTTAGCTTGCAATACTTATTAAATATTGTATCTCAGCTTTTTTCTATATAATTAATTTACAATATTTATTATTTCATTATTATTGTTTGCTACTTAACAGAAATGTACTACTAATATATAAATACTAAATTGCCTAGCTTAAAATATTTAACCATTATTGCATCTTAGCTTTGGGCCATGCCCTAAGAATTATTTTTTAATTATTATTGTTTCCAAAATGACATAAATGTATATGATTCCCTCTCCAGCGCATTTAAGCCCTTTACATTATTGCCTCGATTCGTGTTCAATTTGTGAAATCGCATTAAAGACTGAATATAAATGTTAATTTTCCTTTTTTGTACTTTTATGGCTCTTGTAGGCAGCTTAAACGGCATGCATATGTCATTTAAATATTTATGAAATCGCCGAGGCCTGGAAATTAATTAAGCCATACATTTACCAATTGGGCCACGCCCAGAAAAAAAAAAAAACAACCTTTACACGAAACAGGGACAGAGGAGGCAGAGACAGATGCCGTGAGGCAAGCATCAAAAGTCATTTCCGTAAATTACATGCGGCCGACCGATGCAAATAAATTAAAGTTTATCGAACACGCGAAGCGAATATACATATATATACAGTTGTATGTGTGGAGAGTTTTTGCAAAATGTCAAATGTAGAGTCGAGAGTCGAGAAGGGAAAAAGCTAAAGAGAAATGCGAATTTGAGTAACACAATAATCGCAATTACGCGACGTCCATTTCAGCCATTGCCAGCTGCTAGGCAAAAGTTTTATTTTGTTTGTTGTCTGTCCGCCACTCTCTCTCTCTCTCTCACTCACTCGCCTTCTCCCTGTCTCTTTTTGACATTCAAGAACCCGCAGCAAATTACTTGGGGGCCAAAACTTCTACGGCTGCTTAGTCGCAATAAGTAGAAAAACTTTACGCTGTGCAACAGATGCTGCAATATGTTGAAGCAACGCGCAGACGAAATTAGAAAACAGCAGCAAAAGCAACAGCAAAAGAAACGAAACAACAGCCAAAAGCAATGTGAGCTAAGCAAAATGAAACGAATGCCAAACGCATACAACAAGTTGGTCCGAATAAAGCAAGGACAATATCAACTGCCTCCTGCTGCCTGCCTCCCGTCTCCTGCCCGCCTGCCTGCCTGGCTGTCGACTTTGCCTGCAGCTCGATTTTGCCATTTTGGCTGGCAATTTTTAGCTGGCACTGTAGCAGTTACAGTTACAGCCGCCAACTGTAGACAAAGCGAGTGAGCGACAGAGCGGCATAGAGCGGGGGAATCGAGTGAGAGCGGAAGCGAGAGCAAAGCAAAAACTGGGGCAATGTGCGCCATATTTGCTCGCCCTAATGTCAGGAGGTATAACAATTTGATCATGCTACGTGAA